CAAGAAATACAAATATCAAGATAGGCTAGCCTGTTCGCCAAGCAAATAAACATAATTGGTTATTACTTAAAGATCTAACCAATCATATTCTATCGCTCGGTAAGCATGCCTAGCCGCTTTGACGTCTTGAACTCGCTCAATGGACGCGTTTAAGTTGACAAAGCGGCTAGTCCGCTTGCTGAGCAAATAAACATAATTGATTGTTACTTACAAATCCAACCAATGGTTCATGGTGGAGTTCAAACAACAAAGCGGCTAGGCATGCTTGCCAAACAAATGAGTATGATTGGTTCTTACTTATGGATCCAACCAATCATGCTTAATTGCTCAGCGAGCACGCCCATTCATATACAATCGCTCAATAAGCATGCCTATTCGTTTTGCAGTCTTGCCCAATTACCAACGAAGATTTACAGGTTCATCTGGAAGCACGATTGCTCGCTGAGCGCTCAGTGAGCTCTTGTATTTGATTTCAAAATGGCATATCCCATTAGATCTAAAAATGTAAATCAAACATGTAAAAGAGTTCATTGAACTCAGTGAGCGGTGCTTCTGGATGCACTCATTGCATGCGATATTTTGTTACAATTTCATTTATCATATCGGGTACATTCCGTTTCACGCATGATGCGTATGATGCATTATTTAGGGCCGGTTGTTCCACTTTTTGGTAAATTTTATCTGTGAGATAAATCTGGTAATCCGCGTATGTGATTGGGTAATCTTATTGCTACTTACCCAATAGGTAAAATTTACTAAAAGGTGGAACAACTGGCTCTTATCCTTGTTGTTCATCAAGTGTTAAACAAGGATAAACGATGTATCTTCTCAATGCCTAAATAATTCACAGTGAAGAGAAGATTTAGTTTTGACCGTTATAGGCTTGAACATGCTTATACTTAGTATTTAATTTCACGTCGGTCTTAATAAAATCTTATTATTGATAAATGATGTATTATGCACATCATGTGTGAAATGGAATGCACCCTCTGTACATGTAACAAAAATTTTTAAATGATAAGACGCTTGGTTACACAATAAAGTTAAGTTTTCAGAAATGTTCTATTCTGTAGCTAATTATATT